TATACAGTTCTTCCAAATCTCTCACCCCAACTGAGGGTGGGATCACCCACTGACAGCTTTTGTAAATTGGGTACACCGCGGCTTTTGCAGCCCCCAAGTCCTTGGCCTTCTCTGGGCCTTGTTTCCCAGAATCTGGAAAGGAAAACTAAATAAAGACCGCTACTTTCGGGACCTGCTTGAGTGAGTTGTCTGGTAGGCTGAGACCTTTGGAAGCCTTGATTTAGGGATTAAGTCTGAGCGATCATTGTTGGCCCTCAGGGGCCAGAGTAAACCTTTGAGGTTTCTGTGCAGAAGAAAGCAAGCTTCTTCGGTGCCTGATAGACTGGCTAGTGAGAGGAAAGGATGGCAGAGAAAGGGTCTTTTCCTCGGAAGTCGTCTCCCCTTAAAGTGTAACATGTACAATAAAGTTCTGTCAGCAAGGACCGTTTCAACTGTACTTTGGAACTTAAAGTAGTAAAAGCAAGGACAAGTAGGGTGGCATTTTGCGTTTGTTTGTGTTTGTGTTAAGCAGTCTCCTTTGACTCTGATCACTCAGTTCTGAACTGGGTCCTGCACGGGAACACCTGATATGTCTACTTAAATGTTAGCAGATAATTGCCAATTTGTGGGCCAAGTGTACCTCCAGTCACTTCACACAGTGAGAGACAAAGCTGTTCTTATCTCAATTTGACAAACAAAGACCAGCAGGAAAGGAGTTGGATATCCTATACAAGGTCTGTTTCCCCAATATTGTTTAGGAGCCTACAATGAAGAAGGCCGGCCACCTGCAGCCCCTTTGGCCTGAAAACCTTTTACATAGCTCCATATATGTAAGTGTATAAAATAAAAATCAAATATTTACCGAAAATCAACCATATTTTTTAAATTGGCATAATATAATTTTATCATTTATTAAAGATGAAAGCAAATATGCATACTAATGGGGTAGATTGCCTGTTTATTTTTACAACCAAGAAATCTTGGTTGAATATTTGTTATTCTGATTTTACATTTGAATGCAAGATTATTAAACATGAAAACCAACTGAGGTAGGACATGATGCTTGCCTGTGGGAGATGGAGGTAAGCAAACCTCAGCTGCACTGTGAGTTCACAGCCTAGTATACATGAAATCTCCAGAAAGATGCCTCCTCACATTTACACTGGCACCATGGCACACGCATGCCCACACACACACATGATACAATAATAATAAATTTTTAAAAGCTAATTGCTATACAGTCATGTGATGACTCAGGCAAATGCTGCTAGGTACCAGTTTATTACACATTACAATTTATTTGGAGTTAATTTTTGGCTGTACATTCAGAAATCATGTGCTGTTCCAATTTTCTATGGCCCCACGTTCCACTGTGCAATGCACAATTTAAAAAGCTGGGCTGTAAACCACCATGCAACTTTCTCAAAGACTTGTGACAAATTCTTCTGTTACAGTAGCATATCTGGAGATATAGCAATGTCCAAGTCAAATTAACCAGGTGTATTGCAACAGGTCTGCTCTCTAGACAATGGCATTGCCAGGGATTTCTCCCTCAATCCAAGGCACAGCGAATTAAGATAAAGGTAAAGTCCTGGGTGGGATAAGGGTGGTCTATAGGGAGAATAAGAAGAGAGGATGATAGACATGAATTCTGTAGTATTGTCCTTGGTGCCCAGAAAGGTTCCAATCTGTGATCTGGGGTTGGGAACAAGGCTATGTGTTCCAGTATATGCAGACAGTGAGTTCTCTGAAGAAGTGTGGTGTTAGTACAGGAACCCTGTTTACTGTGATTCAAAGACGGTGTGTACAACCCCTTCCTAGGTCACAAGGAACCCAAGTATAAGGGAGTCTAACAGCTAAAAAGAAAATAATAACCCTTGTTAACTCCCCAGAGACCCAAGTCCTGCAAGTTCTGGCCCTGAGCCTGGAACATGGTAGGAAGTACAGGACAAGAGTAAAGCTGCAAGGAGAGCATGAGTTGACAGATGACTGAGTGGACAAACAGTACCAAAACCAATGCACACAAGTCTTCCTTACCCGTAGAGACAGCCGTCTAAAAATGAATGCCACAACCCTCAGCCATTGCTGGCTAGATGCTGGCAACAGGTCCGTTTGGACCAAATTACAACTTAGGAGTTCAAGTGTCCTTAGGAGAGTTGTTTTGGTTTGGATTTTTTTTTCTTGCCAATTATAATAGTAAAAAGGTTTAGTAGTATTCTGACCTAATGTAGCCTTTGTTCTGGTATTTACTTCAACCCTCGGTTTTTTGTGCAGAACTTTTCCTTATGAGTGCTTTTGAATGTGTTTGTATCAGGACTTTAGTAGTAAAACTGGGCAGAATTCTAGAATAGTCCTCTAATGAAACTTCAGTCCTCAAAGCCTACTAGAAGGGGGAAAGGCCCAAAACAATAGCAACATTCTTTTCTGGAGTAGTAATGAACTTTCTGAATACCTTCCGTGAGAATGCTACTTTTTATTAGTTTGAGACTGATAAGCATGGAGAAACATGAAATTTGGATCATTTTCCCCCTGTTATCTTTTCATGCCGGTAGTCAAGACTGAACAACTACCGAAGGAAAGTTGGCAAATCAAAATACAGAAAGATCTTGTCATTCTTCCTGGACAAAAAAATAAAAATATAGGTTCACAATGCAGAAAAGTCAAAGGTCATCTGTGAAAAACAGTTTTCATTTGTTCTGGGTTCTGTTTTATTGAGGTAGAACTTGGGGGCTGGGATTCATGCTTCTATGCACAGTAGGTTAAGTGGTCCACTTTGAAAGCCTGTGACCACCTATACCTTTGAGTGGCACCTGCCATTTCTGAGAAATGTGCCTGGAGGCTAAGTACTGCTTTCTTTAAATAATGCCTTCCTTGTTTTAAGAAACAAAAACAAAAAATGCACATTGAAGTGTCTTACACTTTGTTTGGGCTAAAGGAAGCTGTGCCCATTGTTTTTAGATGGCTGTATGAACAAAACTGAACTATAGATTTAATTACATTAAATGGGTGTGAACAATTGGTACTGAGAGAGAGGGGCTTTCCTAAAATGAGCTTGTATAGCTCCATGCTCTATCCTTTCCTTAACAGTTTTTGAAAAGCTGAAAATTTGGTTTGGTTTGGTTTTGGGTTTTCTTGCTGCTGTTTTTGTTTTTATAGTTCCTTCATTCTTGTTTTGTTTTTAAAAGAACAAACCCCAAGCCCTACAAATGGCTCCTACTGAACTTTTACATTTGAATGAAAGATTATTAAACGACAACAACAACAAAAAAGGCTGGGCATCAGTGATGCTTGGATTCCCAGCACTTGGAAGGTAGAGATGGGGGACCAGGAGTTCACAGCTTGGATTAAGTGAGACCCTTGTTTAAAATGATAATAATAGCAAATAAAAGTAAACGGCCTTTCGTTATACTTCCTTTTTCTTGTACTCTCTGAGCAGTCAGATTCAGACTGGCATTTATCTGTCTTTTTAGGTATACTCGAAATCTTGTGGATCAAGGAAATGGGAAGTTTAATCTGATGATTCTGTGCTGGGGTGAAGGACATGGCAGGTAATACAGCACCTCCCTCACTGCACATGTCTCCTTTGGGTACTCCTGCCTTGGGCCTCCTCCCACCCTCAGTGGTTCTTGCTTACCTTCCTTTGATAAATCCGTGGTTTGCCTGGGCATGGTGGCACACACCTTTAATCTCACCATAAGAGCCAGAGGCAGGAACTCTGTGAGTTCCAGGTAGTTACAAAAAGCCATATATCAGTACTCTGAAGTAACATTTTGGGGTGTGCTCTACACTAATGTGAATATGTGTTTGTAATACTTCATTGATGAAGTTGAGGTTAGATGCACATTGTTTTCTATTTTGCACATTTTGTCAACTTCTTGGGTTGTTAACTGCTTTTATAATGTGTTTTTAAAGAGGCATTCAATAATTTCAAGGTCAAGGTTCAGTTGGTATTAAGCTATGGTGTACACAGTGAGTTTTAGGACAGCCACGGCTACATAGTGAGACTCTGTCTCAAAATAAATATTTAAAAATATTCTGTTTTGCAATGCTAGAAATCAAATACAAGTCTCATGTATACTATAAGCACTCTACCCTCTAACAATGAACTACATCCCAGCCCCATTCAACATATGTCTTGCAGTGTCTGGCCCAGCATGTGAACAGTAAGTAGTGCCAGGCTAGTCACCAACTTCACAAAGACTAGCAATTCACATTTTAGAATTATTTATTTACATTACCCACTAATCTCCACATGGAGTTAGCATAGGGGGTAGGAGTCTCAGACAATCACTATGTACATTAAGATCAATCACCCCCAATCTCTCCCGGACCCAGGCAGCAAGATGGTTAAGTGGGTAAATGTGCTTGCCACCAAGCTAGATGATTCTCTCCAATTACTGGAATCCACAGAGAAAACCAACTCATACAAGTTGTGGACAGACGGACACACACACACACACATAAGAAAATGTAAAATAATGAAATTAAAAACAAGGGCTCCACCCCAAATGAGTAGTAATTTAGAGGAGGCAAATAATCACCTTAATTCAAAGTCTCTGTCTCCTATGGAGTTAAACTAGTTTTGGAACTGTGCTTAACCCTGACCTTTGACCTTTGTGGTATGTGTGATGTGTCAACAACTGTGGGACCAAAGACCAAACTGGTAAGATTTGGAGCTAGAAAAACATGTCACAAATTCAGAAAAATTCTACCTACCTCTAGTTAATTGTTCAACTTCTTTACCAGGAAGGTAATTTAAACTAACACCAATACTTTAAAATTTGCTTCCTTTTCTTTAGTTTGTACATTTGTCAGCTTTGTTACAATCTCTATTAACTGATTCCAATGTGGTACAATTATTATAAATGAGTATCTTTGTTCTTTTAAATTTTCTTTAATGAACCCCTCCTCCTGTTTTCCTTTGCATGTGTGTGTGTGTGTGTGTGTGTGTGTGTGTGTGTGTGATGCCAGAGATAAAATCCAAGACCTCACATATCATGCAAGCACTCTTCCATTTCTAATATTCTTTCATTATCAATTCTAACACAGTTTAAAAGAGTTATTAAATACTACATTTTCCGGACATTATGTGACACCTGTAATCCCAGCAAACCTGTAATCCTTTCTGAAGCAGGAAGATCATGAATTCTAGCCCAGTCCTAACTGCATAATGAGGCCTGTCTCAAAGACAACCATAAGCAAAACAAAAAGACAAAAACAAACAAACAAAAAACCGTATTGGGGGAAAAATAAAAGGAAAGGTTTCTGGGTTTGTGTTTTGTAACCAGGTAATAGTTATAACATTAAAAAAAAAAAAAAACAGTAAACCACTCTTTAGTGGGAATTTACAAGCCTTGATGTGGATGTTGGGTTGTTACTGTGCCCAGAACAATGATGCTGAGTTGTAAATTGATAAGTGTAAAACACATCAACTGAATGAATTAGGTCCTGTGAGCTTCTTAACAGTGTATCAGTTTCAGCTCAATCAGTGGGGTCCTGGACCAACTACTGAGTTGTTTGTCATTTTGTGCATATATAGCAGTATTCACGATCACACGGACTCCCACTGCTTTTTGAAGATGCTGCAAGGAAACCTAAAGGAGACATTGTTTGCCTGGCCTGACAAAAAATCAAATGAGATGATCAAGAAGTCAGAAAGGACCTTAAGGGAAAACCAGTGTGCCTACATTAATGGTAACAGCCTATTCTTTGTTTATGAGCACGTAGGAAAAGCTGAACTCTTATCTATGCATGTTGATGGAAAATAGTTGCAATATGGCCTAAACACAATGGTTTCTACAACTTTAAAGCAAGATTGGAATCATTCATTCAAAACATATGAATGAAGATTGTCATTCATTGGAAAGTCGTTTACTGTTAAAACTTAGAGAGATGGGATATGAATTTATACAAAATAGTTGTGTCTACTTGGGAAATGTATGGTGTGTTTGTATTAGAAAATGCAAGGACATGTTCTGGAAGTGATTAAAAACGTTAGCTAGTGCCTATTTCTCTAAACTCCATACAGCATATCTAAAAGACTTTTCTCAGGAGAAATTTTGCAATGTATATTGTTGGGCAATGACTTACAGATATCTTACCAAGAATTTGTTCTTTCCCTGATGTCTTCTGGAATAGCCAAATGCTCCCCAGGAGAGGCAGTGAATTTACTTCTATTTCTAAAAAGGATCATAACATTCCAGAAGTTCATTAAAACATATGAGAGTCATAATTTTATTCTCACTTGTAGATGAGATGGCCAGTAATAATGTAGAATAATTTTTATTCTCATTTTTAGATGAGATTGCCAGTATATATGAAGATTAAATAATGTGTCTGGAGTCACTTAGGTTGTAAATATTTAGCTAGCATTTGAATCCACGTAGTTTGAGTCCAAACATATGCTTTTAATCAGGATGCTGTCCTGCTTATATAAAATAAACCATTACAATTTTTCCCTGGCAAACGCAGTACTTCCTTCATATATCTTAGAGTCTAGCATTGGCCTTGCTACTTGGCTTAAATTTATTAGATTATTAGTTTAGGAATGAAAATCACTTACAAAGGTCAGACTGTATGGGAAATGTTTTCTCTTGTATTCCCATCCCACCAGTCTGAATTTCCTCTGCAGACATTTTACTTTGTTTTCTCAAACATTTGAGGGTTGCTATATAGAAGGCACACCAGCTTTATAAGAACAGACTTGTCACTGATACCACAGCACAGGAAAGCTAAAAGCCTCTTAGGGTAATTACTTTCAGCTGGAATCAGAGAATGTCCATTGCATCTGGAAAAGAGCTTTGCCAGGGGTCTCCAGTGCAGAAGCTTGGAGCAGCCTAACTGATGATGAAGGAGGGAGATGCAGACTAGGTAGAAATGGTTTTGATAAGGACTTGATGATCACCAACAGGACAGCAGTGGTCACCAACCCCAGTGAGGGAGTCCTGACTCTTTTTCCACAGAATTGTTAAATTCTAGCTTTTAATGTTAATTTTTGCCAATTAGTAAAACATGGGGTGAGCTAAACTGAGTAATTTTGTATACTAATTGCTGAAATATGTTAAAAGCTTTCCAGCCCCTGATTTTTACAGATCAGGGTGGACATGGTAAGATCAGGGGAAAGTTCCCAATCCAGGGAAGGGTACAGTCCTTGCACAGAAAGGAAACTTGAGGAATGGGGGCAAATGGAAAGGAGGAAAGGGTTGGACAAGGAAGTGTTAGGATACTATAAAGAAGATCAAGACACCAGCCTCCAGGAGCAGTAGAAAGATGAGCTTTCACCCATCAGCAGAGCTGTAATTGGGAATGTCTTTACCCATTTGGTAGCAACATACAGCATAGGGTGGAAGTAAGAGGGGAGCTGGAACAGAGACTCAGCAGCCTCTTTCACCTGAGGAAAGGTCAACAGGACCTTGATTGAAGCAACCAAGAAAGTTCCAGTATGACTGTAACAGAGGGTATACCAGACACAAAGGGGAGAAAGAGACAAAGATTAAAATGCAGAGACTATGAGCAGTGAGGCTCATGAATGGACCTTGCCACCAAGAAAGTTCCAGTGTGACTGTAACAGAGGGTATACCAGACACAAAGGGGAGAAAGAGACAAAGATTAAAATGCAGAGACTATGAGCAGTGAGGCTCATGAGTGGACCTTGGGCCCTTCTAAAGGATGGGTACCTTGATCTGAGGGCCTTTGACTGCAGGATTGTCCACTGTGAGCCTGTTGGTGTGGGCATCCACAATTAGAAAAGCAAAACATTATTTGTGTACAGAGCATTCAGTTAACACTGAACACTCATTTGAAATTGTGCATAAGCGGAGGATCTCTGTGAGTTTGAGGCCAGCCCTGGTCTCCAGAGTGAGTGCCAGGATAGGCTCCAAAACTACACAGAGAAACCCTTTCCCCCCCCCCCACCAAAAAAGAAAGAAATTGTGCATAAGCAGGTGCTAGGTGGCTTTGGTTTCATTAATATAGTGTTAGCGTATCATGTAGCTTCAACACTCAAGAGTCTGAGGCAGGGGGATTTTGTTTTGCAAGTTTGAAGCAAACCTGGGCTATGTAGTAAGTTCAGTGTCAGCCTTGGAGACACAGAGAAATTCTAAAGAGAATATTGGGCCAGGAATAGTGGCACACGCCTCTAATCCCAACACTAAGGAGGCAGAAGCAGGTGGATCTCTCTTACTTCGAGGCCAAAATGGTCTACATAGTGAGTTCCAAAACATCCAGAGTTACATAGTGAGACCCTATCCTGAAAAAAAACAATGAGAGGGAGAGAGGGGAAAGGAGAGAGAGAGAGAGAGAGAGAGAGAGAGAGAGAGAGAGAGAGAGAGAGAGAGAGACATTGGTTTTTGTTTTGTTTTGTTTTGTTTTTTAATCTTCCTGGACATAGTTGTCCCTGTCTAGATTGGTTATCTCTAAGCCAGGGCTCACTGTCAACCTACATGTCCCCTTGATGTCATGCAAACCTTCCCTTGCTTTTTCCTGCGTTGGAGCTTATTTCCTGAGCTCATGTTGTGTTGGTTCTTGGTTCACATCCTTGTTTGTGTGTCCCTCCCTTCCCGTGTCTCTTTATGAGAGCAGTCATGAACAGTCAATTTTTGAGTCTTCCTAATATCTAAAATCAAAACCCTGTATTCAAATCTTCTAACTTGATAGATGAATTATCTGGATTTGAATTGTTCCTCAGAAAGCTATATCTTTGTCTTTTAGTATATCCTGTTCCTGTTCCTGTTCCTGTTCCTATTGAAAGTCCATGGTCATTCTCATGCTTAACTCTTTCTCTGAAAGATCTTCCAGAAATGTTTGGAATCTTCTCATGTGGTGCCTACATTCAGCACCATGTTGTTTCACTGTAATAAAGTTACCTAAGGACTCATCATTCTGCTGGGTGCTTAGTTGCTTTCAGTTTGAACACTTGTGTCCATCAATCCAAGAAATTTTCTCACGTTGTTCCTGTGAGTTGTGTTTCTAAAGGCCTCTTGTTTGGATATTAAGCTCCCTGAACTTGTCCTTTGATCTTTTTCTCTTTCCTATTATTTTAATCTTTGTCCTTTGAGTCTCTGAATCCTCCTCAACTCTTTCTGCCAGCCCTTCTGGTCAGGTTTTGTTTAATTTGGCGATCCTCCTGCCTCTGCCTCTTCAGCATTTCCTACTGGCGTGTACCACCACATCTAGCTGTCTTTTTATTTTGAGAAGCCTTGTTGAGGCTTGGGGTGTAGCTGAGCTGGTAGAGTGTTTGCCCGGCATGCATGCACAGTCCAGGTTCAATCCCTAGTCCCACATAAAGCAGCCCTGAACTTGGGAGGTGAGAAAGGTGGATCAGAAGTTCAAGGTAACCATGGGCTACATGAGAGCATCTCTCAAAGAATAAAGAAATAAAAACAAAAAGTCTTTTGATTCCTGCTCCCCTTTGGGTGTTTTGTCCCAGGGAGAATGCTAATAATAGACTTTTCCAGGTCTTCTCGGTGTCCGGTTTCAACTTGCTTTTCCAGGCTGCTCAGGCCACCCTCTGTCTTCTGCACTAGAGGTTAATTCAGGTGTGTGCTCATGTGTAAAATCCAGGGACAAAAAAGTTCCCTGGTGGCTCTGAACACAGGACAGGGCTTGTTGACAGAATCTCTCTCTGAGAGTCAGGCAGAGCCCTTTTGTGGAAGAGGTGCCTGTGGCAGGATGAGAAGGGCTTTTCTGTGGAGCTGGTGAGACTCCTTACCAATTCCACCCAGACGCTTGCATCTCTGCCTAGAGAAAGAAGTCCTAGGTGATGGCTGATTGGTGAGAAAAGAGAGACTCTTGCCATTCATATAGGACCTGTTGCTTCATTCACTTGCTTATAACCTGAGTTCAACCATGGTACTCTGTCTAGACAGAAAATCTCTGTCTTCTACTGGGGTTGAGAACATGGAGGGGAAGGAAATGGTGAAGAGATTTAAGACCTTACTTCCTAAACAGCCTTTCAAGCAGTCAGTGTGTTTAGCCCAGTCTTCACTTGTTTCCAGAAAGTTCCTGGTACTGCCAATTCCTGGGCTATTTGAGGGTTTCAAAATACAGTTTCTTTCTTGTTTTTTTTCCCCTGAGTAGTTTAGGATTTTGTTTTCTTTTTTTAATGAAGCTACCTTCTAAGCATTCTTATGGATGTTTTCTTTCTTGCATATGTATCTAGTTTTAGCCTTTCACTGGAATGTGAGGCAGTTTGCAGTAAGGATGCCTGCATGGCTCTTACTAACCATAGAAAGCAAATTAATTCAAATGTATATTCACCCCATACTCATTAATATCAATGGAGGGTTGTGAGTGATTAGGAAACTTTTTGCCTTCACCTGCCATCTTGCTTCCTTGGTAGTTTTCTGTCTTCTTTTGTCTGTTCAGATTCCATTGGGTTACATCGAGTAGAGAATGTCAGCCACACGGAGCCTGCTGTGAGCCTTCACTTGTACAGTCCACCTTTCGATACATGCCATGCCTTTGATCAAAGAACGGGACACAAAAACAAAGTCACCATGACATTCCACAGCAAATTTGGAATCAGGACTCCATTTGTAAGTACAGTTTCCTGGGCTGAAATGACTTAGAAGGGACTGGAGAGGTGGTTCGGATGTTAAGAGCACTTGTTGCTCTTGCAGAGGACCCAGACAGATTCAGTTCCCAGGTCACACATGGGTTCCACATCATTCTTAACTTCATCGCTATAAGGGATCTGATGCAATAGTGTGTTACATGTAGGCTTTTATTGTTCTAAGTTTATTCAGTGTGCTGGAAAGATGGCTCAAGAATTCATGGTTCTTGCAGACAACTTGCATTTGGGTCCCAGGACAGATGTCCAGCAGCTTACAACAACTGCCTTTAACTCCAGCTCCAGGGAGATCCAATGCCTCTGGCCAGCTTAGGCACCTGGACTCACATGCATATATCTACACATAAATACACATTATTTTAAAATTAATAAGCATTATTTAAACATCACAAATCCAGATATTCTTGAATGAGATCTCAGGGTAAAAGTCCAATCTATCCTTATTATTTCTTTTTTTCAGTTTTAGGTTTTTGTTTTGTTTTGTTTTGGTTTGGTTTTGGTTTTTTGAGACCTGGTTTCTCTGTGGCTTTGGAGGCTGTCCTAGAACTAGTTTTTGTAGACCAGGCTGGTCTCGAACTCACAGAGATCCACCTGCCTCTGCCTCCCGAGTGCTGGGATTAAAGGCATGAGCCACCAATGCCCAGCTCAGTTTTAGTTTTTTAATTTTAATTTTTATATAAATTTTTATTTAAATTAGAAACAATCTTATTTTACATGTCAATCCCAGTTCCCTCTCCCTCCCATCCTCCCATTCCTTATTATTTCTTAAACATTGGAGATAATTTATTTTTTAATTCAATAAAATGTAAAGATGTGTTCCTTGGGGAGCTTCAATATGTATATTCATTCCTAAAGGAAATGTTTTCTCCCGTTGGGAAATAAGACTGAAGTCTTTATTTGGCCTGTTTCCCACTATATGACCTAGTGTTTACAGGTCTATTTTACTGGGATATCAATAAACTGCATTTGCAGAGACTGTTCTAAAGCTATGTTTTGACTATCACGTGTGCTAGCTCGTTCATTGAGATGTAATTCTCTTTAGACCACAAATATATTGAGATATGCTATATGCTAAGATATCCTTCATGAAGGATAAGCATGCCCCTGCCCAAAATGCAACCAATATTACTATGGTAGGACAGTTTTCTGCCATTAGTGAAATTAATTGGGATGGTCTTAATTTAGTCATGAATGAAGTACATAGAAACTCATCAAGAACTATTGCATGGAAACAGGTTGTCACAATCCTTAAATCGCTTACTACCCTGTTTTGCCTTTGTCTTCCACTCTAAAAGATATTCTTATCACAAAAAGAAAGCTGTAATGCTCCATTGTCATGGCCAGGCTTTTAAACTCTGCTTGAGAAACAAGACCACTTAGAAGTGGTTCTCAACCTTCCTAGTGCTGCAACTCTTTAATACAGTTCCTCATGTGGTAGTGACCTCCAACCATAAAATTATTTTCATTGCTACTTCATAACTGTAACTTTGCTAGTTATGAATCATAATGTAAATATCTGTGTTTTCTGATGGTCTTTGGGGGATCGCAACCCACATGTTGAGAATCACTTTCTATAGCACAAGCCCTCATGCCTTGTGCGAAAATTCTTCCACTACTTTCTCTTTTCCTTCCTTACAGCCAACTTCAGGATCGCTGGAGAACAACTAAGGCATACCAAGTCCTGTGAAGTTTTGCTTTCAGGTTTTCTGAATGTTTACCTTGGGCAGAGAGGCCACCCACCATTTGCTGTCCAGTAACCCAGATAAATAAAGCCCATGCTCGGTTCTACTGCCAAGAGGCGCTAAGGAAGCAAACGGTGTCCTGAGATGTGCAAGAGAAAATCCCACTAAAGAAAAAGTCTAGTGAATTTTAACGGTCTAATCACATTGCTCTGGGTTCTTCTGTCCGCTAATCCATGGAAATTCTACTGGGGAGTTTCAGTGGGGGCATTTCAGCCTTTGGTAACTCTCTGGTCTCTGAACTGTAGTAATCAAAAGTAAAAATCAGAAACTACAAACTGTCAAATGTCCGTTTTGCTCTACCTGGGAGACTAAATATAGAAACCTTTAATATACTTCATATGTTCGTAATATTTGACGAGAATTTTTTAAATCTGGATTTTATTTTTTCAAGCCTATTTGTCAAATTCCTATGCCGTGGAGAGTAGGGAAGCATGTAGCAGTTTGTTACTTGGCAGTGAACAGCAGTGGGTTTAGAAATGTGCCTGTACCCAGACCTCCTGCAAACAAAAAACTGAAACTGTGTTTAATGTGTTCCCCTTTGTACTGCCACCAAAATTGCCAAACAACTTTAATAAAACTGGATTTGAGAAGTAGTAGATGTTGCCTTTTGATGCATATAATAAAAATCATCATATAAGGGATAATTTCTTAGATTTAGATAAATTACCAAAGCAATGTGAAAAAATACTTTGGTTTGGGAGAAATGTGTGAGTGGGGTGTGTGTGTGTGTGTGTGTGTGTGTGTGTGTGTGTGTGTGTGTGTGTGTGTTTTGCTAGGAATCAAACTCAATGCTTCTTACATATTTATTACACATGTACTTCACCACTGAAGTATACCTCCATCCCCAAAGATGTTTCTATGATATAGAATTGTGAAGGCTAAGTAGCTACATTCAACAGCGACTTGTGGGTCTCATTTTCACTAGTTCACAAAAATACCAACACAGGGGCAGTCTTGCCTGAAATTTGCACATGTGTCCTTATTTACATGTGTTCAAATGTGGCTTTGTATCCAACATTTAAACAGTGAAGCCTTATAGAAGAAGATAGATTCCTAACATCTTAAACCTTGAAGTTACCTGGAAACATTAGGCTAGGCTGTATTTTCAGCTAGGGTCTCCTTCTGAAGAGGCCATCATCACTCCAGCCTGCTGCAGCCCCAACTCACCTGTTTAGACAATTCTCTTATAAATATCTCTTGTCATCTTGGAGTAGGTATCTTGGGACTCAGTTGGGAAGTGAAGTCGTTTCTGAAAATGGTTTCTAGACCTATCACCTCAGACATGCTTACACTAAGCTTCTCATCTTTGAGGTGGATACTAATATTTATTGAACGCTTACTCCATAGTAAAGATTATTCAGTTACTTGGATGTAACACAATTCATTCTGGAAAGCAAGCCTAATAAATTAGATGCTAAATTTTTCTGCTGTGACTGCAATATACCACAAACTTAGTAGCCTAAAGCAATGCAGATTTGCAGTTTGCTGTCAGCTGTATCATAGAGTCTAACATTTTTTGCATTTTTATTGGGACTTTGCCCTACCTTTCTGAGTAGGGTCTGTTGTTGGATTTCCCCACCTCTTGATTCTGCCCCTATCTATCTCCAAAGCCAGAAAAATGGCAGGTTCACCTCTGCATGCCATCAGTTCAATTACCTTCTACTTCCGTTTTCTACTTTGAGGAACTCATGGTTGGATAATGTCTCCATGTCAAGGGGTGTACCCTTAATCATATCTCTTGCCAAAGACATTAATAGGTAACATTAGTAGATCATTAGGATGTTGCTATCTTTGGCAGGGAGACCTTCTGGCTATCCCAATCTGTACTCTGGACCTCAGTGAGCATAGCCTACCTCACATGCCAGACATGGTCACCATCACCAGGTGTTCAAAGTCTCTCATCCTGTTATAATTTCAAAGTTAAAGACCTTCTCCAAATCTCATTCAAATTAAGAATGAGGAAGACAGTCATGTGGCACTTTCCCTGGAGAAACATGAACAAACATCTACTCACTCCAGATGGAGAACTGACCATAGACCAAAGCAAAGATACCTCCAAAGTCCAGCTTCCTGAACTAATGAGTTCTATTAGGATTTTTGCAGGAATGTGGGTGAGAGGTTCCGGGCATGGCTCAAAGACAGTTGCATCACCAAAGCCCACCCCAGCATGGGTGACAGCTCAGAAAGCTGAAAACCTGGAGCTCACTGCACAGCCTGCAGGCAGCTCAGCAAGTTAGACAGTGACATCCAGGTAGGTCAATGGGTCTGAGCCTCTTCCAGGCAGCTTGACTGGTGTGAGTCCTCTCCACTGCTCCACTGAGCTTGGCCTCTTCAAGGTGCCTCAACTAGTCTGAAAGTATCTCTCAGCAGATCAGCAGATATATATATATACATATATATATATGTATATATATATGTATATATGAGGCAGGGACTTCCTGAAGTCTTTGAAACTTTGAAGTGTTTAACTCCTAAGGCTAAAGAGCATTGCTGCAGGATGAAATGTCTCCTGCACCCCTTTAGGACATACCCCTTTAACAAGCTTTCTTCCAAAATGAAAATTTTTCCATTACACTAAATTGCTAGGCAACACTGTTATAATCCACCCTGCAACACAATTCCTCTGTATATGTGAACCCACTGAGTTAAGACATACAGTAGAGGTCCCCAACCAAGATTTTAGAAGTGTAGGGTTTATATCTGGGATTGGCTCCCGGCAACCTCACACCCACTTTCCTTGCATTTAGATTGTTTACAGGAAAAGCAGCCAGAGCCACCTTCATTTTTTTTGTCCCATATATTAAGACAAAAATGAATGTAGTTGTACATTTTGTACTCATACTATATGCAAATATTTTAATGTATACTAATCTTGTGGTTTATTATACTTTAGTTTTTATTAATTTAGGGTGTGTGTGTGTGTGTGTGTGTGTGTGTGTGTGTGTGTGTCCATGGAGCACAATGTGCATATGGAGGTTAGAGGACAACCTGTAAGAGTCAGTTCTCTCCTTTCACTCTATGGATTCTAGGGACTGAACTCAGGTTGTCTGCCTTGGGAACAAGGGCCTTTACCTGCTGAGCCATCTTGCCAGTCTGGTATATTTAAATCTTTAATAGATAGCACCCATAACACACAAACACAGTCATGTCCTATGTGTGACATGCATGACAACATGTGAACTCAAGGACACTTTGAATCCAAAGCCCGGCCCAAGTATCCCTGCTGGCAGAACTGCCCTCCCTGTCCCCAGTCTCTATGACTAGCTCTGGTCTCTCTCAATTCATCATATGGTCCCTACAGGAACTGCTCCTTGCAGGGCTCAACATTCTCTTTGTGCACTGAGTGTCAGCACATGGCCTCAGATGATTTTTGGAGTAAGAAATCATTGAGGGCTGCAGTCATGCATGGCCGCTAAAAAGAGTTATAAGGATGCAAAGCTTTGTGAGCCAATGAGATGGCTCAATAGATAACAGGGCTTGCTGTGTGTGGTGGTTCAAATGAGAGTGACCCCTATAGGTTCACATATTTGAATGTTTGTTTCAAATGTTGGTGGAACTGTTTGGGAAGGATCTGGGGGTGTGGCCTTGTTGGAGGAAGCCTATCACTGGGAAGCATTAATTATCCTACTTAGTGTCTTTGGATGAGTTTGAGAATCTTGAATGCAAAAGAAAAAGAACAACAGAAAGAAACTACCCGAAATTTGCACACAACTCCAGAAAGGGATTGTGGACCCTCTAAAGATCCTTGGAGGTCCTAGATAAAGATTTGGTTTCAGATGAGTATGGCGGCATATGGCTATATCATCACAAGTACTTGGGAGGTGGAGACAGGGGAATCAGTTCAACATCTTCATCTGTTACATAGTGAGTTGGAGGCTAGCCTGAGCTAAATGAGACTCTGTTAAAATATTCTAGAATAAAGATGGGCATGGTAGTACACATCCTTAAACCTAGCACTCAGGAAGAAAAGAGACAGGTGGATCTCTGTGAGCTCAAAGTCAATCTGATCTACAAAGTGATTTCCAGCCAGGGCTATGCAGTGAGATCCTATCTCAAAAAACAAAACAAAACAAAAACAAAATACCCAAACGCCACAGATGAAGTAAAGCTCTATATGAGCCATATACAAGCCATGACTCATGGGAAATAATGCCTATTGGGCTTCGTTTTATGAAATTAAGATGGCATTAACATTAGCAAGAAAGGCCAACAGTTAGCGTTCTTTGTATGCTCACATGGCTTTACTGTCTATTGCTAGCTAGCCTGGAATTAGTAGACGTGCCTGGCTTTTAACTCATAGAAATCTATCTGCTTTTTCCTCCCAAGTACTGAGATTAAAGGTAGGCACCCTCATCCCCATAGAAAAAACAGTATTTTCATCAGTAGCCTACACTGGCCTTGAACTTACCACACACTAGTTTCTAACTCCCCAAAGCTGGGACTGCAGAAACACACCTCCAGCATGGCTCCTAAACTTTCTTTCCAGTGCTGAGGATCCAACCTAGGGCCTTGCACATGCTAAGCGGGTACTCTACCACTGAGCTGCATCCCTGGCCCTCTGCATAGCCTTTTACAGATTACCCTGGGATTTCTAGGAAACATCCGATGCACGTGCTACCTTGTCTGAGACCTGTCCACATATTATAGAGAGATACATTCTCTCTGTCTCTAAGGAAACCACAGACTTTCATAACTTTATTTATCTAACTAGCAGGTGTTTAGAGGGAAAAAAATACACGTGGAAGAATGACGGAAGCGAGCAACAGGAAGACAAATATTGTAGAGTCTGTGTATTTGAAGTACCTGGAATATGCACATTCATGGAGACAAAGTAGGAGAGAGGTTCCTGGAGACCAGAGTAAGGAGGACTAAATATTTATTGTTCAATAATAATAGAGGTTGTGGTGGCATTGATGAAACGTTTGGATGTAGATGGTGGTGACAGGTACACAGCACTGGGAATGTGTTTATTGCAACAGAATTGAACATTTGCAAATGTATAGAAGAAAAATACTTTATCACCACAGTTGTTACAAAAATTATATTTGAGAAAAAAATGTATGCCTGAGTGTGTCAGAATAGACACTACAGCTACAAATAATGAAAAGATGTAGAAGGGGCATGGTGGGGTTTCTTGCATTCCAGTCACCAGGTATCAGTTTCCCACTTTAGAGGCAACCAGTGTACCACTCCATGTGTCTGTTTATTTCTTTTCTCCATTTTTATAAACAGGGACATATTCATGCAAGTTAGTCCATGAGTCTTGTAATGATGGACTTCGTCTCTTGGATATTTCCAAACCTTTTACCACTGCAAACAATCCTGCAATGAATATAGGAAAGGCAATGCCATTTTGCAAATATTATTTGGTGTTTGTCTATATGGAGAGTTGAGGGAGATAAGAGGGACTAGAAAGTGGGGTGGTGGCAGAAAGTTACAGCAAAGCTGCCCTTGGTACAAGTCCCTGCTGCAGTGCAGAACCTGCATCTGGAATTCATGGAGCCATTTTCACTCTGCTCACTGGTTAACTGAGGTCACACAAAGCTGCAGTGCTCTCACAAGCCTGTCACTCGAGTGGAGACTACCTATCACA